GAGGTCATTTTCACCACATGAGAAAAGATCTCCTCAAAGTCTACACCTTTCTTCTGATTACAACCTTTCACTACAATCCGGGCTTTGTATCTCGGCTTCTTCCCGTTCTCTTCATTCTTAATCTTGTAGACCCATTTATTTTTCAGAGCTCGTCTTCCTGCAGGCAACTCAGTTAGTTCATAAGTTTGATTCTCGTGCAAAGACTTCATCTCGTCTTGCGTTGACTTTTCCCATTCTTCTTTCTCTGAGCTCGTCACAGCCTCATCATAACTCTGCGGCTCACCGTCTTCAGCAACAACGGTGTATTCATCAGATGAGTATCTTGTCAATGGTCTTCTTTCTCGAATTGGATATCTCGGCTGTTCTTCAACTTGAGAACCCGGTTCATCATTCTCATCCTTAATTTCATCATCAACTCGGGCCTTAGAATCTTGATCATCATCAGCTTGTTGCTGGTCATTATTTTCTTCATTCTCTTGATTTTCTCCCCCTGCTTCAGCTCGTACAGGAGGGATTGATTCTTTTCTTCTGACAGTAACCTAGACTTTGGCCTTCGAGATGTCATGAATGTTCTAATCTTCATGAAAGATCACATCTCGACTTCTCACTATCTTCTTATTGATTGGATCCCAAAGTCGGAACCCGAACTCACATCTCGGCAAACCAAGATAGATGCATTCTTTTGTCTTTGCATCAAATTTTTCCCTTTCATCTTTAGGGATATGCACAAAAACTTGGCATCCAAACACCTTTAGTTGATTATAGGCCGCTTTCCGACCTGTCCAGACTTCTTCTGGAATTTCTTCTTCAAGTGGCCGTGATGGTGAGAGGTTGATCAAGTCAACAGCTGTTCTGACGGCTTCTCCCCAGAATAATTTTGGAAATCCGACATTGGATATCATACTTCAGACCTTCTCTTCAATAGTCATGTTCATCCTCTCAGCAAATCCATTCAACTGTGGAGTCTTGGGGGGCGTCTTCTCAAGTCGGATCCCGATCGCTCTGCAATATGCATCAAAAGGACAGCAATACTCACCACCATTGTCAGATCGGACCACCTTCAATTTTTTGCCAGTCTCCCTTTCAACCATTGCATGAAACTCTTTAAAGGATTGGAGTACCTGGTCTTTAGATTTCAACAAATAAATCCACACTTTGCGGGAGTGGTCATCAATGAATGAAACAAAGTACTGAGCTCCTCCAAGAGATCTCTCTGACATGGAGCAAACATCAGTATGGACGAGGTCAAGAATATACCTGCGTCGTTTGGGTTGATCCAGTCTCACAAAAGAAATCCGGTGCTGCTTTCCAGCGAGGCAGTGCGTGCAACTCTCCAATGCCTGGCCTTTTAACTTGGTCAGTAATCCTTTCTTGTGCAGAATTTGGAGCCCTTTCATACTCATGTGACCGAGGCACTTTTGCCATAGCTCCAAGCTAGGTCCATCTCGGACAGAATTGACTTCTCCGCCATTGATCTTTCCTTGCATCACGTACAAGGAGCCTTCCTTCTTACCTTGAGCAACAACCAAGTTTCCTTTGACCAGCTTCCATCTAACACTACCGAAGTAGTTCACTAACCTGACATCATCAAGCTTGCCTACCGAGATTAGGTTTTAACGCATGTCAGGTACATGCCTCACATCCTTCAACACAAGTCGGCGCCCAACATCCATGGTCAAGGTCACATCACCGACACCAACAATCTTGCTGGTCACTTGATTTCCCATCTTCACGACTCCAAAATCACCACCTCGGTAAGAGGAGAAAAAACCTTTGTGTGGAGTAACATGGAAGGAGGCACTGGAGTAAACAATCCAGGTGCAGTCATCATATGTAACATTCAAATAATTATCCTCACCAAGGAGGAATATCTCGGCATTCGGGTTGGTAGCCACCGCAGTGGTGCTCTTGTCTTCCCTCTTCTTGGGAATAATCTGATCCGGCTTCACAGAGCCATTCTTCTCGTCATTTTACAAAGTCCAGCAGTCTGGCTTCTTATGCCCTGTCTTCCCACAATAGAAGCACTTCACTCATATTTTGACTTTGATCGACCTCTGGACTTTCATCTTCTGTCAGGATCTCGACCCCGGCTCTTGCTTCTACCCCGGGAGTCAGATTTTCCTTTGTTCTCAGCAACGTTGGCCTCAGACGTGCTTGAAATACCTCGTTCTCTTCTCGTGGTTTCTTCATTCAGGAGACTATCTGTTACAACATCCATCTTCAATTTTCCATCTGGAGTCGAATTACTCAAGGTCACCACTAGAGTATCCCAGTTTTCTGGCAGCGAGCTCAACAGCAACAAAGCCTGCATCTCGTCATCAATTTTATCTCAATCTTTGACAGCTGATTCACAATACCTTTGTAGGTGTTGAGGTGTTCAATCATGCTCATGACGTCCTTGTATTCAAGCTTCACAAGTCGGCAAACCAAGTATGCTTTGTTCCTGGGAGTCTACTTCTGAATCATGGACTCTAACTTCGTCCACAACTCGTACGCGTTCGTGAACTCGGACACGTGCTCAAAGAGGCTCTTGTCTATATATTTTCTGATTGTAGCTACCGCCTTACGACTCTGAATCTCCCACTCTTTATCGATCTTGCTTGTCGGTATCTCATCAAGGATAATGGGCTCATGTAAATCCTTGTAGTAGAGATGATCTTCCATCATCGGTCTCCAATAGGTGAAATTATCTGCGGTCAACTTGGACATATCTCCATCATGAGTTATGCCACTGGTCTCCATCTCATCTCCCTCAGAACCCGTCGAGCTCAGGCTCTGATACCACCGTTGGGAACTCGATTCCCTCAAGGCGGCTAAGCAGCCTTTTTGTGGAAGTCAGTCAAGCAAGATCCTGGATCTTGGATCCAGTGTTTAAAAAATCGGCCCGGCCGAGGTCAGGGGTCATGGGGTCACGGGTTCAACGGGAGGTCACGGGATCACTATGCTAACCCGATTTTATATATTAAAAAAATATAAATATATATTTCCTATAAGAAAATATTAAAAAACAAACCACCAAACATAAAAGATTCAAAATATACTTAACATAATTCATCAATTACAACCACAAGTCAATATTACACAACCTAATTAAAGTATCAAGATACCAAAGTACAAAACTCATATTCTAATGGGTCACTGTGCTGACCCAGTTCTGCCTCTTTTGATAAGGTCCCTGACAGAAAATTTAAAGGAAGTAAGAATGAGTTTTTGTTTTCCATCGACGACCGTAAAGATTTAATTTGAATGAGTAAAATTCTTACCTTTTCTAGAAGATTCACGGCAGCGAGGTGAAGATTGAAGACATCTAGGTCGCTGGGAGAGAAGAGAACGATTAGATTTAGGTTTACAACTATTTTTATTTTATTTTTTTAATAAAACAATGTTGTTTCATAGAATTTAAAAAAAAATAAAAAAACATGCAGTGACCTCCTTTGACCCCTCTGACCCGGGAGTCACCGAAACCCGGTCAAGTTTTTGGGGTCGGAGGGGTCGATATGCATATAAGGTCCAACTTGTGACCCCAACTCTCAGAGGGGAGGGGTCAGGGTTGACCCGGGCAACCCGGGGGGCGGGGCGGGGTTTTAAAACACTGCTCGGATCTCGGCAATATTACCTCGGCCTGAACTTCACCAGGTCGGGTAGCGCAGCAGAAAGCAAAAACACAAACAGGAGAGAGAGAGAGAGAGAGAAGGAGAACACAAATAGATTTTAACGTGGAAAAACCTTCTCCAATGAAGAAGTAAAAAACCACGGGACCTAGTCCAGATCAAACGTCCACTATGTTAATAATGGATACAAAGAATCAAAATACACTAATGTGGTGGTTAACTCAACCTCTCCAACATTGGTGATAATCAAACTATCCTAAAGATGTTTCACTCAAACTCTCTCTAGAGATCTCTCAAATACAAAGCTCAAAGCTTTGCTCACAAATCTCTCAAATGATTTTCTCTCAAATTTCTAATCTGTACAACCTAGCCTCCATCCACAACTAATGAATATATAGAGGAAGTGAGATCTAGGATTTAAGGGTGAGGATTTTTTAGAAATCCTTCAATGGGCTTGGGCTTAGCATTGAAGGAGGAAACCCAACAAATGGTTGGGTTGTAAGAGATTGTTCATGTTTTGTGTCTTATATAACTAGTTTCTCTTTGTAATATTGAAGCGTGTTCGATAACCCACAGAGCAATGTGGGGATTTTGTTTGTTATCTCCCTAAATCTTTGCACCTGTCCCAAGTGAGCCATACTAGGTGGTATGGTAGGATGCTAGTGCTAACCCACACAACCACCATTGTAATTATTTATTATTTAAAAATTATAACTTAATTATGAGTCAAAATTCAACATTAAGCGTTCACACTAGCACAATAAAATGAATATAAACTATACACTCCATTTGTTTTATATTCCTTCCTCGGTTCGGTTCATCGATTATTTTATTAATCCGAGTGAGTTGGGCTGATCACAAAAGACAATAAAACTTTCCTTCTATTAACTATTAAGTTTTTAACCCAAAATTGTGATAAAAGTCACCTGTGTTCTAATACAAGATTGTTAGTACTAAATTAGCAGCTTGTGGAATAAAGTTGAGCATAATTACTAAGAAAATAAAAATAACACATATTTCTAGGCTTACAACGTGTGGACTCCCCCTTTACATTTTGTCATCATTCACATATTTAACTAAAGTAGCATCTGCTTCAAGAAACCTTAAACTCGTCTTTTCCACAGTTCTATGTGCTCGTGTATAAAAATACAAGCTGGCAATCCTTCAAGTTTAAAGATCTATTTGACTTCTTCTATGCCCTCTTTTTTCTCTCTTTCTTTGAGTCTTTATATTGTTTAAATCTGTCAACAATGTATATGTATACAGAAAGTCTCTTTCTCTAGCTGTTCCATTAATTAATTACTCTTTTCACATTCAAACTGATCTCATGTTCAACCACTGATTGCTTTCAAATCTGAAGCTTTTGTCCTTCCACCCATCATCATGAACATGACTTTCCATCAACTTTTCAATCTTTGGCTTCTTGCTTTTGGTTTGATCTCTTCTTTTGCTAGTGGAGCTACTCTGTTAGAAGATGAAGGTATACTATACATTTCTCTCTTAATTCTCACCCCAGTGAAAAAGAAAAAATCAATTTGGAAATGCAAAAAAGAACAATATATATATGGCTGAAGCATTAATTTGATTTTTGTTTTGAAAACACAGTGCAAGTTATGAAAGACATAGCTAAAACACTTGGGAAGAAGGATTGGGACTTCAGTGTAGATCCATGCAGTGGAAAAAGTAATTGGATATCATCAGTTCAAGTGCAAGGATTTGAAAATGCTGTAACCTGCAATTGCACTTTTGGCAATGCCACTATCTGCCATGTTGTTGGCATGTAAGTCTCTGATCTCCATTGTAAAAGTTCTGCTTTGGTTTGCTTTTATTTCCTTGGCCTTGGGTTTAGTTTTAGTATATTGCTAAACATAAGTCAAACTAGGCAATTTTTCTGATTAAACCAGAGCACAGGTGATGGATAATATTAGTGCAAATTAAGAGTTAAATAAAATGAGTAAATTACCAAAACTAACATGAGTGATGGGAAATTTACACGGATTAACAGTGGGTATAATTCCTTACATATATGTCATGTTTTGATGTAAAATTTGATATAATAAAAATGATATAAACTCTTAATAAAGACTTACTAAAATAGAAGAGTGACTCTCATTCATAATGGCATAATAGATAATTGAATAATATCATACCACATCTGTAACACCCCGTTGTATACCCAAAAATGTTAACATTATTTATAATATTAAGCGCAGTTATTATCACAAATTAAAATTACAGATAAACTTTTTCAAAAAACATTGATCATTTACTTTTTAAAACAAAAACACATTTAATATAACCAAAATCGTAATTGCAACTATGTAACATTCTCTAAACTGAGACCACTACACTTAACCATTAACTCTAACCATTTAATTATGATAAACTAGACGTCTAAGGCTTTCCAGAAATATATTATAAACCATTTGGTTAAGTATAGTCGGAGTTATTAAACTCGCAAGGTAGCTGACGAAACTGAACTTTCAGAATAGTAGCATCAACTTCAATCTTAAACTGGTATTGATATACTCACCAATGGCTCTAATATTTTACAAGTTATAGCCCTATGTGTTAGCTTCACATAGGGGCAAACTTCACTCAATTTGGAGGTCTGTAGCTCGAGTTATACCAATTTTACTATACTACGTTTGTGTTGAAATTTGGCAGCGCGCTCATCGAACACATTTTTCGCTACTTAGCACGCTTGAGCGTACTACTGGGCGCTTGAGCGTACAAGAGGTAGAAAATTTGGCCATCTCCAAATCTTCAGCGAACAAAGCGACAGTCTCCCCTTTTTTAGGTGGTTCACTTGAGGGAATTTTCCTCCCTCCATTCTCCAACTTCTTGGTGCCTAATTGACAAGGGATAGCTAGTCATGGCCACACACCATATGGCTCTACATCCCACATGCAATTGACAAATTTATCATTCAACTCAAAATGAAAAAACATGCATCACATTCCATCAATGTTACAATGAATTATTTACAACAATATTCTTCAAGATAATTACATACCAAAGAACTTAGCTACAAAAGGGACATGATCAAAGCTATTAGCCATATACAGCAAGGCATTCAATACCACAATGATCGTGCACTAAGTCTTCCAAAATACATCATGTGGCCTGAAAATATACATATACATGTGGCAATGTATACGACATATACATCTATAATCCTAAACGAGGTGCAATCCAAAATGATAAGCTATCAACATATGACATGTAACTCAAATACGACCACTTGCCACTAGAGGCTCCTGCAACATCTGTACCTGAAAGGGGGTCCCCACAACACGAGGTGAGATATACGAATATGCCTCAGTAAACTAGGGGTCCTTGGAGCATTTCTTCACCCCATAGTTCACTCACAGTATAATAGCAATAACAGTAAATAATGCAATAAATACATATTCATGCAGTGTGTAAAAAATCTCTAGGAGACATCCTGTTAGCTCTCATGCCATCCTAAGCATACTCAGATGCAAATAGTTCTCCTGGTCAGCTAAACTACCAAGTATGAATTACGTATTGTCATGCAACATACAAACATAGGGAGACATCATCTTATGCCATACCCAGTGCATACACATACGTATAACAAAGCATTAAACTACTTTATTGTATTTACATACACTATCAACAACCACTACCCGTTGTGGGCTTAAAGGAACAATAAAGGGATCAATTCCCAAAGTACGAAGGCTTACCTCAATGCTTCCGATCCAACCTTTGTTCACCAATAAGTTTGCAACCAATCAAACTTTGAATTCAAGCTACAATCATACAAAATTCACACCAAGGCTTGGTTCCCTCAAACAACCAAGTCAAGTTGTAACATCCTCATCTCAAGCCGGTTCAATTAACATACATATGATACTAAAACTTGCATCAGCGGAAGACTTAACTTACAAACTTACATTAGCTTACGAAAATACGAGCAAACTTTTTCCTTATATTTCTTTAATTCGTTTCACATGATATATAGCATTGCATCACTTTTCTACTAATTTATAACTCATTTCCTAAGCAGTTATCCTTCCTTAAATGAAGACTAAAATTGGATAACGTAACTGCTGTAAACCGGAAAAATTGGGGATTTAGAAAACCTACGCTCAAGGTTCCTTGATAAACAAATCATATAATCCATAATTTCAGAAATCTCAGACATCCATCAAGGATCAAATACCCATCCATGGGCTCATGCATAAATTGGTTCCGTGCCACTATGTCTAACAACATGCATAACCAACACATACACATAGCTGAGTACTACGTAATCATACCAACATGCGTGAATACACAATTGTACATGCATCAAAATTGAAAACATGTACAAAACATATACAGGGCATATACAAAATAACGAATCAGACATCATGATACCCAAAATAAATAGAATACGAAAGCAACATAATAATCCTCAAAAATACAGTAGCATACAGCTACCCAAAACTCGATCTACTAAGGCACTCTATCCACGGGTCGCTTCCCTGCCCCGTGGAGGCTTGCCTACAATCTGTACACCTGAAATGATGTCCCCAAACGGGGTGAGATAACAAATCTCAATAAACTCCAGGTTAATAGAGAATTCTCCATACCCTAGGCCCACTCCTGCATGAAAGTCATATATGGAGTATACAAGGCATCATATAAACAAATATCATAACTGAACAAAGCATATACCCATATCTTATTAGAGATGTACGCAGTCATTTCCAAAGGAGGACCCCAAGCGAAAATTAGCACACGTGTTCCCAAGGGATGACCTCGAGTGGAACCAAAAACATATCAAAGGTGTACACAGTTAGTCCTAAGGGGGGACCCCAAGCAGACATCAGTGCACATAGAATCAATGGCCAAAGATCATTACAGAAATCACATCAGAACAAAACATATCATATTATCATATAGCTCTATATGAATGCATCTATACAAAGCATCAAATACAATCATACAATCCAACCATAGTCCACTAACCATGGTGGAGCACACAAGTAGGGAAAGACACCTTAAACATAGAGCTTACCTCTTGAAGCTTTAACAATAGTCTTACTTGTCACCCAAGTCACTTATCTTCCTCCAAAAGAATCCAAATTTTCAAATTCCCTAGGAACACCTAGAGAAATAATTCAAATCAAAACTCAATAAAATGATACAATGCCATGTAATTCTACAAGACACACATTTTATTGATTACTTTCTTTTTCTTATCAATTCTTATGCCAATCATATGCCATACATACAAGTCATAACTAGTTTTCTTTTTTACTTAACCATATTCGACCATGGGTGGGTGGTTCTTTGCTCAACAAATCCCCACATAATCCCACACATTCACCTAGTCTTAGGATAGCCTCATAAGACACTCAGAACACTCGTTACTCATCTTAGCACTTTAAAGCCTATTTTTCCCAATTTAAGGCAGAGTGCCCATTACAAAGGAGTTATAAGATTTCTCTTTGTTCAGTGCCTAAACCCAAGATTAGCCACCTGTATAAATTATTTTTTGAATAAAAGTGTTCTCACTTTGCGAAACAGTATCTCTGAATGTATACCTCCTTTGAAAATGACCAAAACTCATTTTAAGGCCATACAAAGAAGCTACCTTATTTTCTTTTTTATTTCACCAAAGCGAAGGTCCATACACCTTAGAATATTATTTCACGCATAAAAGTGTCCTTGCTTTGCAAAACAGTAACTCATACAACATACCTCATTTGAAAATGGCCATAATCACATATAAGGCCTAAAGAAGGAACTTATTCATTTTTCTTTTTGTCTAACCCAACCAAAGGTTTAAAATCTAATCATATAGTCCTTAGACCGTATAAGTGCTCACTAGCACAAATAATCACTCTTAAAACATACTTCCTATGTAAAGGGCTAAGAGGCACATAAAGGAAATCATGCCAATTTCATGATTCCAATGCTTTAGTCCATCAAATTCAAGCTTATCACACACCTCTAATTCAAGATTCATTAACATATTCATGATTTTCCAAGGTTCCATAATTTAAGCACATAGGCCTCAAAGTGGCATTTTCACAACTTAGGAATTCTTTAACCATTTAATTCCTACATTCTCTTATGCATACATATATACATATATTCCTTCACTAAATGTACCATTATATTTTTGCTTATCACACCCACTTTGGAGCATCATGGCCAAACCTTAAGGAGAGATTCAAGAGGATTTCTTTTTTCCAACTTTACATACATATACACATTCATCTCACATTACAACATCTAAACATCAATAATCCACCACTAATTCAAATTTCAAATTTTACATTTCTCAAAAATATGTTCATGAACCCTAGGCTTAGAAATCAATTATTCAACTAATAGTAATAGAGTTTCTTACCTTAAACCACTCTTAGGCAACCAAAGGATCAACCTCTAAGCATTGGAGTATCTAAAAACCTTACTTTTTCTTGGACAATGAACAGTACCGCATGGAAGAGGAGGAGAAATCTCTCTCTACAGTGAACCACACTCCAAAATACTAGTACCAATGGATTCCTCTCGAAATTTCCTTCAATTTAGGCTTTGGAAGGACATGATTTGGAGGTGTGTAGCTAAAGATATAAGCTTTGGAATATTTCATTCAAAACTTTCTTTTTCCATGGAGGGGAGCACGTTTTTGAATCTATGAGGAAGAGACATGAGAGAATGAATAGTGTCTTTTAAGTCACTTATTAAGGCTTATATGCTCATGTGGCTTTTTAACGGGTATTTTCCTCTCACTTACTTTCACTTAACTTGACCCGACATTAACCAAAAACTACGGACATAATTTTATTTACATTCACTTATATTCCATAAGGAATATTTTAAGCTATTCATAGATGAATTCGGACACTATTTTCGAAATCATGCACTGTGAATCACTAACTGTGCACTGTTTGCACACAAAATCGTAAACTTACAAACTCTACACTTTTGGTTTAAACATGTCTTATTTGGCATATATTGGACTTTCTTATACTTATCGCATTATTTATTCATTTCAGTACTCTACCGGTTGCTTAAACAACGGTACTAAATACCCGGTAGAAAATACTATTCACGAGATTTCCGCGGAAAGTGCCAGACTATACAATTTTTCATTCTGAACTCATATTTGGCATCAGAATTGCCAAATTAGGTCTCTAACCTCATTTTGCTCATTTCTAAGCTATACCGGTTGCACAACAGTGCATAATACCTGGTAGAAAATACTATTCATGACCTAATCATGATTACAGTAAAAAATACTCAAAATCACATTCTGAATCTAATTATGACATTCAAATCATTAAATTAAATCTCTAATATAAGATTTACCAGTTGGGGTCATTATACAAGTTCCATTGCTTCCACCTGTTCTTGGTCAATCAATGATGATCCACTTGCTTTAGTCCTATCCACAACCCGGACACAATCAATCAATGGCTTGGAATGCAAGGAAACTCACAAACCATGCTTGAATTTCTGAAATATCATAGTATGCCCAAACAATGATCTAAACTCATTTCTACCGATTATTCATCATTCTAAGCAACTTTTCCAAAGGGCCAAAGCTTCAATCAAGCTCGAAACTACCCACCACACATACATTTTCTCAAATAAAACCCTAACATACCCATTACTATAAAAATCATGGAAATGCTTGTATCTAAACCTGAACTCACCTAGAATCATGCAAGGAAGGGATTGCAAGCCTCCAAGCAAAGCAAATCACTCTCCATCTCCTCAATCACAAGTGGGTCGCCACTTTCACCACCATTTTTCACTCAATACAAGGCTTTTTGGTAGATTATGGATTATGGATTAGGGGTTGTGTTTGTCTCTCAATTCTAAGCAAGATTGATCCAAAAATCAAAGGATTTGATTGAGAGATAGAGAAGTTAGGTTTTGGAGCTTTTCATCAATGGTCTCCTTCCTCTCTCTCTGTCGCACGGTGAAGAAGATGCAAATGGGTGGGTTTCTTTGTTTGACACTTTACATAAGGTAGGTAACTTTCAACCGGATAAAAATTTATATATCTATTCACCTTCATTCACTTCCAAACTTTACCCTGTGGACTAGAATATTTTTCTAGTCATATTTCTATTTTTACTTTTACCTTTTGAGTACTTTTGCCTACACATATTTTTACCCCATAATTTTTACTGAATGCACTTTTTACCTCAAAAGTGACCCTAATTTGTTTAAATAGATATTTTTTCTAATTCAATCCACTAATACAAGATTAATTACTTAATTACATGCAATTAATTAAATATCATGATGAGGGATATTATAACATCAAAAGTTAATTCTGTATCTTTTATTATGAAGAGATTCAGTTATAATATATACGTCATCAAAAATAGATTATTATCGTAATTTACAATGAAGAGAAAACATATACTATTATGTATAGTTTTATATTTTAAAGACAAATTACACAACTAAATTGCGTGGTTTGTACTTCTCAAGTTGCTATATATTTGATGCCCACTTGCCAGAATACTTCTAATTTTGGCCATAAAATTTTCAAAGAAGTTCATGGTTATTATCTAAACTTGGTATATAAAATGAAAAATCACTGCACATATATACCTAACTCAAAGTTTATAATTTTAAGAAATTTATGATAACTTCTATATCATTTCTTCAATTCCCACTTCTTTTTCTTAAGCAATTCTCTCTCTCTCTCTCTCTCTTTTTACAGGTTAATTAAAAACGGAATGATAAAATAAATTGTATAAATGAAAATTAATAATTTTATTAAATGAAATATACGCAATAAAATTATCTAAAGTTGAAAGTATTAAAACTTTCAAGCTAGATCAATAATCTACTAATTATCAAAATCAAACACGCACATACAGAGATTCTCTATATTTTAGTCATGATTTTAATGTTTGGATTAATAATCATCGGACAGTGTTCTCCAGTCACAAAATCTTCCGGGCACACTCCCATGGGAACTGGTGAGGTTGCCTTACCTACAAGATATGTATGTGATTCTGAACCCACACTTTATCAACTAAATTTGTATATCCATGTTATCATCATTCACTAGTTTGATTCTTTCTCTTAATGTCGTAAAGTGACCTCACATGTAACTACCTTCAAGGTACAATCCCTCCGCAATGGGGCTCTATGAATCTTGTCAACATGTACTATCTCACTCACCCTTTCTATAATTTCATGTCATTTTTTTTCCTGTTTATTACTTCAATAAGTATATGATTCTGACAAATGGGTCTTGTTTTTATAACATTATTAGATATATATATTTTTTTTGAAAAAATTTTATCTTTTTAAGTTTCATAAATTATGTCGTTTTAATTTTTAATATTATTATGTATTATTCATAGCACATAGTTATAATATGAAAAATTATTTTTTTTTCTTTTCTCAATCACTTCAGCTGTGTGAAAAGTAAAAAAAAAAACAATTTTCTATATTATAACTATGTATTATCCATAATACATAATGTAAAAAATTAAAAGTAGATAACTTATATCCTCTAAAAATGTGTCATTTAAAAGCCCACACACTTGACCCTTATTTTTTTAATGTAATCTTCTTCTACTGATTTCATGAAATATAATACTAGTTATGCATGTTTCTTAACTCTGGCAGTTCCCTTCTTGAAAACCGACTAACGGGTTCAATCCCAAAAGAACTAGGAAACATCACCACCCTGAAAAGTTTGTAAGTTTGTGGTCATCTCATCCGTATAGAAATTTTCCCATTTCAATTTTATTAAAATTTCTGAATGAAATTATAAATTTTTAAACTTGAAATGCATAGGATCCTGGAGTTCAATCAATTATCTGGACAGCTTCCTCCAGAGCTTGGGAATCTTCCCCGGCTTGAAAGACTGTAAGCCCTTTTGGATTACTTGGAATTTACAATTGCTATGTTCTGTTTTATTTGGTTGATTGATTCGTTTGTGTTCAATAATTTTTAAGTTTAAATTCTATGCCTTTGTTTGGCTTCTTTAAATTGCTTGCTTAGATAATAATGGGCAAACCCCTTTTCACAAGACTCCTTGACTTGTGAGGGTAGGAAGGAGGGTCAATTATATATAACCTTACTCGTGTACTTTTGCAAAAAGACTGTTTTCCAAACTCTAAACCGGTGACTTTTCTGTCACAAGGAGCAACCTTACTGCCGCTTCAAGGCTCGCCTTCTTTGCTTAGAAAATAATTGATGTGAAAATTAATTCCAAATTCATAGATTGATATAGGTTGTTTGTATTTTATAAAAATCTCAAGTGTTAATTTTTATCCATTCCAGACTTTACTCAATAAAGTTCACAGTACTCTTTCGAGAATCCTAGTTCCTATGCCTTATTTTCTAAATTTCAATGTTGCAATAGGCTTCTAACCTCCAACTATTTTACTGGAAATTTACCTGCAACATTTGCTAGGCTTACTACATTGAATCACCTGTAAGTGTCCTTCTTTAAATTTTGTTTTATTACACTGAATTACATTCACTATATTGTTGTTTCATATATATCAAGAGTAACATTTCTTTGTTTCTTACCTTCTTATACTGCAGTCGACTTGGCGATAATCAATTCTCTGGAACTATACCTGATTTCATTCAGAGTTGGACAAGTCTTGAGAGGCTGTGTGAACCTTTTCTTTCCTCTAGTGAAGTTTAACTGTTCATTTTTTTCTAGCTGAATTACATATTATTTATTAGTTTATCAAAGGAATGGTTTTTAATTGTGACAGGGTGATGCAAGCGAGTGGTTTGAGTGGCCCAATTCCTTCTGGAATTTCATTTCTGAAAAACCTCACTGACTTGTAAGTTTGGTGTTTTTTATTGTAGCCAAGGTTTCAAAACTTAATTTGCTCTTATTGTGTTTCATCATGCTTAAGATATGTTATGCAGGAGAATTAGTGACTTGAAAGGACCAGATTTTCATTTTCCACAACTTAATAACTTGACAAATGTGGAAACACTGTGAGTTAAATGTTTGGATTATTATTGTAATTTCTCATTTTCATTATAAAAGTCAATGAAACAAGGAAATGGTTTTAGCAATCAAAAATAAGAAATATGAGATGCTATTGCCTGTTTGCTCTCACATATTGTCGAATTATTTCCCAGGGTTATGCGAAGTTGCAATCTTATAGGAATGGTTCCTGAATATCTTGGAAGATTGACTAATTTAAAATCATTGTAAGTGATGCTTCATCTCTTTTCAGTTCTGTGTGGTTGGTGCTATATTCGCAATTTTTTTGCATTATTTATATGTATTTAGAACCATTTATAATTGTTGCATTTAGTTCATATAATTTGGTAAAGACAGCAACATGCTTCTTCTGTTCATTGCATTATAGGGACTAAACATTTTCATGTTGCTTTTTCTGAAACCATTTTTTCTCTTTTAAATAATACTTAATTCTTGACATAGTTTTTTTTTCCCCAGAGACCTCAGTTTTAACAAATTAAGTGGACAGATTCCGACCATGGGTAGCCTAGAGGGCCCAGAGAGCATCAGTATGCTGTAAGCAATACTCTTTAGCCCTCAATGTGATTTATGATTTCACCAAAATTAGGATATATATTTCAAGATTCTTGGGTTATGTTATTCAATTTTATCTGGTTGCTATGATTAAGTGGGGATTTGCAGTTGAACTGCTTTCCCTGGACATTGTAGAATCCATCAATGAAAGTACATAGGATTTTGACACTGAAATTGGTAACTATTGCGACTCGGCACGTGCCCCCGTCGTAAAGTAATAAAGTGTATCGGAGTACGAGATCGTACCCACGAGGATCGGATTTTCAAGCACTAGTTCGCTAATCGCGATTTAGTTGGACAATCAAGAATTGGAATTGAGATAATTGAAATTAAAAATAAACAATAACATCCAAATAAAAATTTAGAATTAAAAAGACAATTGAAAAGATGATGGTTAATTACGAATTAAAAACAAGCGTGGTTAGGGTTTCGACTTCCCTCAATATCCTCATTATGTTATGAATTAAACAGTCAAGAAAATTTTCTTAATATATTGCCAATCAATTCTTTCTAAGTTAATTAGGGTTCAATTCCTTGTTACCCTAAATCTATGTGATCTTAGAAGAACCCTAGTTCCCCGGTTATTCCCCAAGAAAACATGCATTAAGATCAAGAATTCCAAGATTGCACAATTACCCTATGTCTATCCCTAGATCACAAGGATTGTGATAAATTTATCAAATCAGGGTTCATACATCGACATCCCTATTGTTATACAATTCCCCTAAATAAATCTATCAGGAGCAAACTCATAGAAAGAATTAAAGACACACAAATTTATTCAACTATAAAAAGAAAAGAATTCAAGAACAATTTAATCCATAAACATAATGATTCAATTGGGTTCCATCTACCCCTAACTACATAAAAATCTAGCCTAGCATACTGAATTCAAAAAACAATAGTAAAGAAAAGAGAACCCCAAGCCTCCATTGGTGTGATGTTGACTTGGTTCCTCAGTGCTCCCACGCTCCGCAGCAGGATTCCTCCTTGTGCTGCTTCAGACGCCTCTCCATTGTTCCTCTCTTTTCTGGTCCCAAGGCCTTTTATTTATAGAGGAAAAGCATATCTTTTTAATTTCCATTCAAATCTCCTTCAAATCTTCATGAAATATTGTTCATATCTTGATTAAGTTATAAGATCTTCCTTGGGCCTGAATTTGATCGTATCAAGACGTTTTAGCGCCCCTTAGAGCGCCAAAACGCTCTCCTAGTGTATTCTTGTCTGCCTTAGGGCGTTTTAATGCTCATATGGGCGCTAAAACGCTCTCTTCGAAAGGAACTTTGTGTTGTCAGGGCATTTTAAAGCTCTGTTGGGCGCTAAAACGCTCTTCTCTGGTGAATTTTTGCTATTTTTCTTCTTTAGGGCGTTTTAGCGCTCTGTGGGGCGCTAAAACGCTCTCCATCAGTTTGTGACTTGCTTGTAACTTGCTTTCCTTGGACTTCCTTGGGTATTCAAACATCTCTTTTCGTTCCTTTGCTCCATTAAGCATTCTTTTATGTCAAAATACCTTCAAAATAGGCAAGATTACAACATGTTAGCTAAAAATTTCAATCTTTATGATTTTATAATATAAAGCCCTTATTTCCATGCAATTCACTATGTAATTCTTGTATAAATTAGCCTAAAAACATGGTAAACCTAGGGTTTATCAAACATTCCCAAATTTAAATATTACTGTCCTCAGCAATCAATCAGAATAAACTATAAGGGAATTTGGAGTAGGAATTCTCAATTGCATGGAAATTTGATAGGAAAGATTCAATCAGAGACATTATTACAGAGCATTCAGACTTTAAAGAATGATACATCAATCAACAAAATTCATAATTCATCAGTTAAAAGTTGCAATAAAATTTCTTAAGATTAAGACTAAGGAAAAACTTTTGAAACACTCCCTCACTAGGATTTCAATTCACTCACACTCAACTGTTTAGAGGGTTGGTGTTTCACTCATCTTCCCCTGAATCAACACTACCATAGACTTGCTTATATTCTCACTCTCCACAGTTGTTATGATAAATCAAGCAGATCAAGAGATCTTTATTGGGGTTGTAATGTGGCTTGGTTAAAGGAAGAGAAAATTTATGGGAACGAGTTTCAAGATTGAAATCCAGATTCGAAGAGGAATAAGTATAACTTTTGTCTACAATTTGTAAACATTTTTCTTCTTCCTTTCAATTCCTTCTTCTTCTTCTTCTTCTTTTGAGCTTTTCTCTTTTGACGTTCTCTTTCTAAGAACATTTCAATTCTTTATTTTCACTTCTTTTCCTTTCCTTTTTCTTGAGTAATTTTTTACTCTTCTTTGTTCTAACCAATTTTTCTTCCTTGGGCTTTGCCCTTTTTACTTGTATTTCCATACATCAAAACTTGTGTAACCACAACTTACATCCACTCCTTACTTCAAATTTGAACTTTAATCTTCAATTAAGGTGAGGATTTATTTGGGAAGTGGCTATTCATATTCAAGGGTTTTCAATGAATAACAAGTCTAGGCTCAAAGGGGCTTAACTAAGGAATAACAACAAAGGTTAGCTATTTGGCCATCTAGTTAAAGAAAGAACATGCCTCTATCATTTCTACAAAATATATCACAGACTATTTCAAGCAAGAAACAAAGCAAGTTCTAGAGTCTCTCAACAGTGGAATACACACTCAATAAAAAATTTCTGTATAGGTTCAAAACCTCACGGCTATGAATGCACAAAATTTTTCCTATTCTTTATCTTAATCAGTTTCATCACCAAAGAAAAATATTAGATGAATCATGCTACTTATTGCAATGATGCTCATTATCAAAAATTATGTAAGCACATCACCATGCTCTAAATCAAATCACTGATCAAAATTCCTACCAATCTTCCATTTATTTGCACTGAGAAAGAAAAACTTTAAAATTTTCACAAAAACAATAGATTGGGGGTTTTCAAAACAAACTAAATATTAAAAAAAAAAATTATGCTAAAGCAAAGAAGAAGAGATTTAAGATAGTTCCCTGTTTTAGTCGGATATTTTGTGTCTGCTCATGAAGTTCCTCTGGCTTATTCAATTGTGCTTAGATGAATCGCGCGTTCCCCATTCCCAGATTTAAATGTTGCTTTCCTCAGCAACAGATTTAAATCTCAAAAGAAAACGCGTCGAGAAATAAAAACAACTAGTTGCTCTCTCTTGTTGTTTGTTCCCTTTTCTTCACTTGTAAAATTCACTCAATGATAGCCATTAGTCTCAACACCTTCTCTTATTTTTTTGTATTTTTTTTCTTTATTTAATTCAAAGTAAAAATAAGTAAAACAGTGAATTTAAAATAAAACAGTAAAGTGTAGGTTTGCCTACCCGTTAGCGCTTGTTTAACGTCACGAGCCTGACGTACATGATTTACTTTCATGGTGGCTCAAAGCATAAGCTTGGTGATGACCAAGCTCCATCATTCAGAATTTGTATCCTCCCATAGTGCTCTTGTGTATATGAGTTAGATACAGTAGCCTCAATAACTTTGAATTTGGTATTTATATGCTTTCCTTTACTCCTGGGCTTCTCCATTTTAACCTTTAGCTTACCTTCTTGAGGAGAATTCTCTTTGTGCTCTTCTTCACCTTTCTTTTCACCAATATAGTAGACTTGATCTTCTAGTTGAACTTCAGGTGGAGAATTTTCTTTATCAAAGAACTTGAATATAGCCTGCTCTCCGTCCACTCGTAAGATCAGCTCACCCTTAAGAACATCAATCAGTGCTCCTGAGGTTGCCAAGAAGGGTTTTCCAAAAATCATAGGAATAGTGGCATCTTCTTCAATATCAGGGATGACAAAATCAATAGGAATGATGAATTTGTCTACCTTTACCAATATATCCTGAATGATACCATAAGCTTGCTTTGAAGAGCGGTCAGCCAGTTGCACTATTTTTCTTGTGGGCTTCACTTCAGTAATCCCTAGCTTCTTCATCATGGAGAGTGGCATGACATTGATGCTAGCTCTCAGATCACATAAAACATTATCCACTTCCACTTTGCCTATAGTGCATGGAATGCTGAAGCTCCCTGGATCCTTGACTTGGGTAGGTAACTTCTTTTGGATGATAGCAATACATCTTTCTGTCATATTTACCGTCTCACATTCCCGCAACTTACGCTTCCTTGATAATAGATCCTTCATGAACCTTGCATAGATGGGCATGTTCTCTAAAGCTTCAGCAAAAGGAATGTTGATCTGCAATTTCCTGAATATGTCTAGAAACTTTGAATATTGCTGCTTCTGAATCTCTTTCTTTAATCTTTGAGGATAGGGGATTTGAGCATATGGGGAGAGATCTAAAGGTTTGTCTTGCCTTTCTAAAGCTTTCTTCTTCTCCCACTTAAATAATTTCCTTTCAATTTTTTCAGTATTGCCCTTGTCAACTTCAATAGTATCCTTTGCCTTTTCTTTATTCTCTTCTTCAACCGATGCCTCCACATCTCTCTTCTTTTCTTCAGGTTGTTTCTCTATAGGTTGAATCATTGTCCCACTTCTTGTGGTGATTGCATTGCAGTGCTCTCTAGGATTAATGACAGTGTCTCCCGGGAAGGTACCCTTGGCTCTCTCAGCAAATTGCCTTGACAATTGGCCAATCTGAGTTTCAAGATTTCTTATGGAAGCTTCTTGATTCTGAAGTGCTAATCTGGTCTCTTGCATGAATGCAGATATATCCTCCCTAAAAGCATTTGCACCTTGAATATAGTCTGAAGTGGTCTTAGAGAGTTGTGCGAAGGCTTTCTCCCACTCTGAGGTGTTACTTTGTTGTGGGGGATGTGGTTGCACTGGAAGGGGAGGGTTGAGCTGATGGTTGGATTTGTAACTGAATCCTGGATGCTGATTCTGATTCTTCCACCCTTGATTGTAGTTATTCCCAAACTGGTTCATCCCCAGATCATTCTGGTTCTTCTGATCATACCAAAGTCTGTTTACTTCAGCAGTTTCAGGTGCTCTCATCAAAACACATTCTTCTTTAGCATGAGTACCTGCACATATACCACAAGTTACATGAGGATTATTAATAGAAGAGACTTGAGAATTAGAAAATTGCTTTGTGAGAGCATCAAGTTGTGCTTGTTGTCTCTTGTTAATTTGATATATTTGCTCATTTTGGGCCAACAGTGCATCATAGCCGTCGAGCTTCATGATAGCCATTAGTCTTGGTGTGACTGGAGCATTGTCGAACTCTTGAGAAGCTAAAGATTCCAGCAATTCTAGCGCTTCCTCTGGAGTTTTTGTTTTCAATGATCCCCCTGATGCAGCATTTACCAAGATTCTTGTGTTAGGCATCCCCTTGGAAGAAAATTCTCCCTTTTTCTCAGGCTTCAAAACCATGTTGGGGACACTTCCGGAGTAGTCCTTTAAACCTTTCTCATGCCTCGTACAAGGATTCACTTTCTTTTTGTTCAAAAGAAGTGATCTCTGCTTTGAGCCTTGCCATCTTTGAAGCTGAAAAGAATCTGGCCAAGAACTTTGTAGCCAAATCATCCCAGTTGGTGATGCTTCCTTGAGGCAGTGACCGCAACCACCCTCTTGCTTCTTCCTTCAGTGTGCATGGGAAGAGTCTGAGCAAGATGGCTTCACGTGAGACTCAATTCATCTTCAAGGTGTCACAGTAGAGCAAGAAATTCTCTAGATGACTGTAGGGGTCTTCGGTGCTTCCTCCAGCGAACTGATCTTTTTGAATCAGTTGCAACAGTCCTGGCTTGAGCTTAAAGTTGTTAGCTTCCACATTGGGTCTAGAAATACTTGCCGTCTGCGGAACTCGAGTTGGGGTCATGTAATCTCCCAACGTCCTTGGAATAGGTGGGAGTCGATTATTCTCTGCCATAGTTTCCTCCTTTGGTTCCGTCGAGCTTGATGCTTTCTTTGCTTCTTTTTCTTTTCTTTCTTTTGCACTCTTTCTGTCTTTTCTATCTCAGAATCAAATTGCAAGATTCGTGGGTTAATAGTACCTCGCATAAACCAAGATTTAAAAGATGTGCAGAAAATGCAGAAACGGAAAATAGAAAATAAAAGCAGAAAAAGAATGCAGAATATGCAGAAAATTATATGCAGAAATTTTTTTTTGCAGAATTTTTAAAGTGCAGAAAATTAAAACGTCCAATCTAAACAGTTTTTAGTTACTTCAAATGTGAAGGATCCAATCCCTGGCAACGGCGCTAAAAACTTGTTGCGACTCGGCAAGTGCACCGATCGTAAAGTAATAAAGTGTACCGGAATACGAGATCGTTCCCACGAGGATCGGATTTTCAAGCACTAGTTCGCTAATCGCGATTTAGTTGGACAATCAAGAATTGGAATTGAGATAATTGAAATTAAAATTAAACAATAACATGCGAGTAAAAATTCAGAATTGAAAAGATGATGGTTAATTACAAATTAAAAACAAGCGTAGTTAGGGTTTCGACTTCCCCCAATATCCTCGTTATGTTATGAATTAAACAGTCAAGAACATTTTCTTAATATATTGCCAATCAATTCTTTCTAAGTTAATTAGGGCTCAATTCCTTGTTACCCTAAATCTATGTGATCTTAGAAGAACCCTAGTTCCCCGGTTATTCCCCAAGAAAACATGAATTAAGATCAAGAATTCCAAGTTTGCACAATTACCCTATGTCTATCCCTAGATCACAAGGATTGTGATAAATTTATCAAATCAGGGTTCATACATCGACATCCCTATTGTTATACAATTCCCCTAAATAAATCTATCAGGAGCAAACTCATAGAAAGAATTAAAGACACACAAATTTATTCAACTATAAAAAGAAAAGAATTCAAGAACAATTTAATCCATAAACATAATGATTCAATTGGGTTCCATCTACCCCTAACTACATAAAAGTCTAGCCTAGCATACTGAATTCAAAAAACAATAGTAATGAAAAGAGAACCCCAAGCCTCCATTTGTGTGATGTTGACTTGGTTCCTCAGTGCTCGCATGCTCCGCAACAGGAATCCTCCTTGTGCTGCTTCAGACGCCTCTCCATTGTTCCTCTCTTTTCTGGTCCCAAGGCCCTTTATTTATAGAAGAGAAACATATCTTTTAATTTCCATTCAAATATCCTTCAAATCTTCATGAAATCTTGTTCACATCTTGATTAAGATATAGATCTTCCTTGGGCCTGAATTTGATCGTATCAAGACGTTTTAGCGCCCCTTCGAGCGCCAAAACGCTCTCCTAGTGTATACTTGTCTTCCTTAGGGCGTTTTAATGCTCATATGGGCACTAAAACGCTCTCTTCGAATATGGGCGCTAAAACGCTCTCTTCGAAAGGAACTTTGTGTTGTCAGTGCGTTTTAATGCTCTGTTGGGCACTAAAACGCTCTCCTTCAGTGGATTTTTGCTATTTTGCTTCTTTAGGGCGTTTTAGAGCTCTGTTGGGCGCTAAAACGCTCTCCATCAGCTTGTGAATTGCTTGTAACTTGCTTTCTATGGACTTTCTTGGGTATTCAAACATCTCTTTTCGTTCCTTTGCTCCATTAAGCATTCGTTTATGTCAAAATACCTTCAAAATAGGCAAGATTACAACATGTTAGCTAAAAATTCCAATCTTTATGATTTTATAATATAAAGCCCTAATTTCCATGCAATTCACTATGTAATTCTTATATAAATTAGCCTAAAAACTTGGTAAACCTAGGGTTTATCAGTAACCAGCCGTTTGAGTCAGGGAATAAAACCTTTATATCTTTGTTAATGTCATTGATAAGGAGAGAGAAGAGAGCATAGGAACTAGTTCTTTCTTAATGTCATTTGATCTATTATATGGTCTAGATTAAAATAATTACTGATATGCTCAACTCAGCTTAGTGAATGAAAAGATCCTTGGGGACCATTCAAATTATTGGGTAATAGGATTTAATTTACTAGATTTTCCACTTTGATGTTTCATCATTAATTGATGAGTTCTATAAATTGACTTATTTATATTGTTTTACCTAGATACTTAACGGGAAACCTTTTTGATGGACCACTGCCCAATTGGATAGTTAGACCAGACTACACGTGAGTAATCCTTCAAATTCTACTTATATGATCTATTGAGTTGAATTATATCTGTTGAATGGTAAATTATTACCCCCCATTATAAGTAGAATTTTTCTGCACCACCAAGTGTTACATATTGGTAGTTTGTTCCATCTTTAATTCTGAGTCACATGCATATATTGATACAGAGATCTCTCATATAACAACTTGAGCATCACACACCCAGAGCAATTGACATGTCAACAGGGAAGCGTGTAAGAATCCTTGCATTTGCATAATTTTTTTGTTTTGGCAATTTTAAGAAGCTATCTGAGCCTTTGCCACTGACAACGTGCCTTAGGAACTTGTTTGGATCATCTTTGAAGGGAAATAATATGTAAGTTTTATATACTCATGCTAAATTATTTTTATCTTTGTATTTTTTTTTTATGTATATAGCTTATACTAAGTATAATGTGACTGTGCTGACTTGATATGCCACCTCCAATATTTTCTCAGGGGAATGGTTCCATGTTTGGGGAACATTCAGTGTCCTAAAAGTAAGTTGATTTGTCATGGATTTCCTACAAACTGTTAAGATCTTTGCTTTGAACCTGTGCATTTTTATTTATTTATTTCTGGGGATGTAGAAGGTGAAAGGGGGAATTATCTTCCCAAAGATTGCCATAGTTATATATCAAGAGCTTGTTGTAGGACTCCGAACTTAACAGCTGAAGTAAAAAGATGATAGGAAATTTGTGAAATGAAATGTCATATTTATTATAGCACTGAGCGTGCCATTTTATCATTAGTTAGTCATTTGAACAATTTCACTGGTAATGATTCTATATGGTCATTTTTCTTGGAACTACTTATCATTTATCCATTATTGCCAAGAAATTAGATCTGCATTTTTTGAATACAGGAAAATAGCAGAGCCACTTGCAGTTATTAGGGATTTTATCTTAATTTTGATCCCCCTTGATTTGTGCTTATTGTTCTATGACGTGCAAGATTTTTCCATCATATGTAACCATGGAGCACTTACATATGATGGAGAACTTAACATTTGCTTCCAAGACTGTTTCTTATCACTGGGTGTACATGGCACTCATGCTCAAGGTTTTTTCTTTGTTACCTTTATTATTCTTCTGAAAGAGTGTAGATCTTATAATGCAATTTACTATATTGCTAGTTGTGAATTACATGTAACCAATCATCTTCCCATTTCTCTTTTGCATGAAGCAAGTGCTAATCTTTTAGTACTCTCACATCAACTTCCGAATGTCATGTCATAATGAAAATTAGCAACAAGAAATAATCAATTTCCTATGCTCGGGCTTGTATGACTAAACCAGACTCCCTTTTTCCACCCTTAATCGTCAAAATGAAAAAGAAATGAAGGGTTAGATACAAGAGGGAAAAATAGTATTTGTACATATATCTATTCCTTTTACTGACTTTTCACCCTTTTCTGGTTGTATCAGCTTTGTACTCTCTCCGTATAAACTGTGGTGGGAAGCTCATAACTTCTAATGGAAGCATGACATATGATGATGATTCACAAGAAGCTGGACCGTCAAAATTCCACCTGAGTGGATCAAACTGGGCATTTAGCAATACTGGCCACTTCTTTGACAGTGGCCTTGGAGACTACTACACCTGGTCCAATAATACAACTAAGCTTGTTATGGACAATGCTGAACTGTATATGGATGCACGTGTTTCTCCCCTTTCTCTCACATATTATGGATTTTGCATGGGAAATGGAAACTACACAGTAAATCTCCATTTTGCAGAGATAATGTTCACTGATGATCAAACATATAAGAGCCTTGGAAGGCGTGTATTTGACATATATATTCAGGTGCATGGTTTCATCATTTTACCTTTTGTCAACCCCATGTTTAATATTGAACAAATGCCCTTTGAACCTTCATGAACTATTTGTGTTTGGATTAAGTATTGCAGAGAAAGTTGGTGCTGAACGATTTCAATATTGCAAAAGAAGCTGGAGGTGTTGGTAAGGCAATCATAAAAAAGTTCACTGCTATGGTGACTAGTAATACCTTGGAGATTCGCTTTTATTGGGCTGGGAAAGGGACAACTGCTATCCCATTTGCATCAGTATATGGTCCTCTTATATCAGCTATATCAGTTGATCCTGGTCAGTTCTACTTGTCTGTTGTTCTTTTTCTTCCCTTATCACCTAATCTAATATATATGCAAATCTCTTATGACATAATCAAGCAGACTTTACACCCCCAGTGGGAAATGGAAGTAGCATACATGTGCGGTCCATTATTGCAGTTGTAGTTGCTGGAGCACTTTTTATCATCATGATATTGGGTGTAGCTTGGTGGAGAGGATGTCTAGGACACAAAGGTTCAGTAGAAAGAGGTAAGTGCTAAGATTCTAAGAAGCTACTATAACCATCATTATTACCATTTTTGGCTGAAACACTAATGAATTTTAATGCATAAATTTGGGATTTTGCACGAATAGAACTTAGATTTAGAAGTGAAAGGAGGGGGTGGGATTAGTCAAGGTTTGGGAAATCCCTTTAATTACATATACTAGTTTTACAATTGGTACCTCAGGAATCTTAAAAATAATAAGATACAAACCCACCACTACAAGTGTACTGGAGGAATAAAAAAGAAGGATTTCGGCCCCAAATGCAGAAGTTGGCCCAAGTGAAGATGTTGATGTTGTCCAAAATGCCCTCCGACAGAATGCAAGCTTGGGAAAGCAAGTTAGTTATGGAGGAATTGGTTAAGAGGGACGGATGAGGGCTGAAGGGAGGTATCTTGGAATATTGCCTAGGGAGTGGAACCTTGGGAGAGAGTGAGGCCTCTCCAATTGTCTCACAATATCATTTTCCCTTTTCTACATTGTTATTTCGTTTTCCAGTTCACTATTATTTTTCCTTTCCTTGTAATTGTTGTCTCTGTTTTACTGTCATTAGACTGTAATTTCTCTTTGTAATTCCATGGATATATAAAAAATCTGGTTTATCATACTAAAATTCCTTGTTCTCTGTTGTTGAATCTGTTTTGTATTGGAGGTCTCTATCAAATTGGTATAAGAACTCCGATCAAGGAGCTCTTTGGGATGGTCATTACTAGAAGTATGGAGAATCGAATGGAGGTTTTGTAAGAAGGGTTGTGCAGGATCAATGCTCAACAGGACGAGGTGATTCAAAAACTAGAAGCTAATAAGGTGGGAGTGACTGAAATCATTAGGAGGTTGGATGAGATGGCTAGGAGAAGAAGGATTGCGGAGGAGAGGACGATCCTGATGACCACGTTTCACGCATTAATGAAGGAAGAAATGACAAGAGGTTTAACCTGATTCCTCTAGTGGCTAGGCGATTGGAGATTCCCCTATTCTCCGGTGATGATGCTTTCTGATGGTTAAGTAAGGAGGAGAGATACTTCGTCGTTAATGGTGTGATAAAGGTAGAGAAATTAGCAACGGTTCTGATAGTTCTTGAGGGAGAAGCTCTTCATTGGTTCCACTCGTGGGGGCTAAACAACCCCAATGCAACGTGGGCGTTGTTTAGACGAGAATTGCTCAGTCGTAAGCAACTGGAGGCATTGGAAAATCCATATAGAGCTCTGCATACGCTCAAACAATAGGGGAGTGTTGTAGAATTTCGAGCGGAATTGAAGAAGATGGTGGGTGTTCTATGTTTCGAGGACGAAGACTTACTCAAGGGGGCTTGGCTCAACGGCGTGTGCATCAGCATAAGGGAGGAGAACTTGATGACGTCAACACTTAGTTTGACAAACATGACGAAGTACTCCATGAAGATAGAAAGGAGAAATGCTGCTTGGGTTGAAGAAGGCTTAGGGCCATTGGGCAGAACATGGGCCCAAGGATCCAGTCGTGCATCTATGGGCCATCGAACAGAATCAGGCACAACCAAGGTCATGAAGGGTGTCTTAAATAATATTAGCCCAACGAACATGATACACCTAAGTCAGACTAACCCATTTATGCTGCATTCCAACAATTCGAGCATAAGTTACCTTAATCTCCAAAATGCACAGAAAGAAAACTCTACGGAAGGACCATCGGCGAAGGGCTCGATGTCCATCAACGGTAATCGCACGCAAGAAAGCCACATTAGCCATGCACGACGGTTGTCTCAAGTGGAGTTACGAGACCATCAGCAACGCGACCTTTGTTTCAATTGCGATGAGCGTTGGAACCCAGGCCACAAGTGTCAAATACCCCAGCTTCATCTATTTCTAGTCGACGAGGAGAAGGAGGACGAAGAGGTTAGGAATGACGTCGTGTTGGTGAGGCCGATGAAACCTGATGAAACGGAAACAAAGAAGGCTTTGCAACTGTCGATGCGCAGCATGTTAAGGCTCACTTCAAGCCAAACCTTAAAAGCTTGGGGTGAGATTTGGGACAGAAGGTGGTAATCAATGTGGATTGTGGAGCATCAAACAATTTCGTGCCAAGAGGTACAGTGGGACAGTTAGGGTTGCTTGTGACAGAGACTTCCATGTACCAAGTAGAGGTGGGGGACGATCATAAGGTCAAATGCCAAGGTGGCTATAGTGTTTGTTATTCAGAAGTGGAAGAATTACCCCCAATAATTCTTGTTTTTTCTCCTAGAGCTAAAAAAAAAACTCTCTACGAAAAAGAGTTAACGACGATAATGTTTGTTATACAAAAGTAGAAGAATTATCTTATAGAGAGACACTTTATTGTGAGAACAGACCAAAAAAGCCTGAAGCATTTATTGGAGCAAAAGGCATTGGGAGAAGATCAACAAAGATAGATTTCTAAGTTAATTGGGTTCGAAATTTAGTATCAGTCGGGTGAGAAAAACTTGGTGGCTGATGCTCTTTTTTGTCAAATGCAGTTTGCAAGTCTTTCTCGGCTTCAACTACCTGATTTGGAGCAAATGGAACAAGAGGTTCAACATGACAGCAAGCTGCGTATGATAGTGCAGGACTTGATTGTGGATTTTGCTGCTCATGAAGGGTTCATTTTGATAAAGGGGAGAATGTTTTTTCAAGGATCGTCTGGTGCTACCCATAAATTCCAAATTTATTGCCCTACTCTTAGAGGAATTTCATAACTCTTGTGTGGGAGGACACTCGGGCTATATTCGCACCTATAAGTGGCTGGTTGGTTTAGTTTATTGGGAAGGCATGAAGAAGTGCATCAAGGATTATGTGTCATCCTGTTCCATTTTTGTGGTGGTGGACCATTTATCCAAATATGCCCATTTTTTACCAATCAAACACCCATATACAACAAAGGAAGTGGCAGAATTATTTATTAAAGAGGTGGTGAGATTACATGGTTTTCCCTTAACCATAGTTTCAGACAGAGATAATTTGTTTATAAGTTCTTTCTGGGTTGAAATCTTTAAAAGTGCTGGAACAAAGCTTCATTATACTACCGCGTATCACCCACAAACGAATGGTCAATCCGAAGTGGTGAATAGATGTTTAGAAGTATATCTCAGCTTTTTTGTGGCCCAAAGCCCAAGCATTGGCCCAAATGTGTGCACTGGGTCGAACACTAGTTTAATACTACATACAAGGACTCTACGGGGATGACACCATTCAAATCACTTTGCGGTATTGACTCTCCAACACTGCTTAAAGGCACCATCTATGTTTCTGCCATTGATGTTGTTTCCCAAGCTTTGGTTGAGAGAGATTCCATTTTACAAACAGATTCAATATATAAATTAGGGGGGAGTATTAATACAAACCCACCATTGCAAGTGTACCGGAGGAATAAAAATAGAAGGATTTGGGCCCCAAATGCAGAAGTTGGCCGAAGTAAAGATGTTGATGATGGCCCAAGTGAAGATGCTGATGCTGTCCAAAATGCCCTCTAACAGAATGCAAGCGTGGGAGAGCAAGTTAGTTACGGGGGAATTGATTAAGAGGGACAGATGGGTTCTGGAGGGAGGTATCTTAGAATATTGCATTGGGAGTGGAACCTTGGGAGAGAGTGAGGCCTCTCCAATTGTCTTATAATATCATTTTTCCTTCTCTGCATTGTTATGTCGTTTTCCAGTTCATTGTTATTTTTCCTTTCCCTGTAATTGTTGTCTCTATTTTACTATCATTAGATTGTAATGTCTCTTTGTAATTCCTTGAATATATAAAAAAACCCGGTTTATTAGACCAAAATTCCCTATTCTCTGTTGTTGAATATGTTTGGTATTAGAGGTCTCTATCTTAATGCTTCATAAGAATGTAATTTGATGAAAAATGTTTACATGATAGTGCTATTTTTTTTTTTTTGTGGGGTGGGGCGATGTACATGATTATACGGTTAAGTGTTGATATATCACAATACAGCTGACGTGGATAAAAGCACACGTGGAGTGTAACTATTTAATTTCTGTTAGGATAGTTAGTTTTTTTTATTTTTCTGTAATTACCTTTCCTTCTTCACTTCAGTATATATACTGTGAAGAGTGTTAATTGTAGGTTACTTTTTCAATCAATGAATTTTTCCAAGTCCTTCAAGTTTCTCAAGATGGTATCAGAGCTCTAAGCTCTGGCCATCTTCCACCTTCCACAACCTTCATTTTTTTGGTCTCTGTTCTTGATCATGGCAGAACCAAACCAAGAAAACCAGCATAACCAACATAATCAACAAAACCAGCAAGTTTCTGATCCATATTACCTCCATCCAAATGAATCACCTTCATTAGTTCTTGTTTCTCCGTTGATGAATGTATCACCCTGTATATATCCGGTGTGTTATCATATCATCGTATTACGCCACGCTTAACTGTAAAATGCGGAATATCTTTTTCTTTTCATTTATGACGTCATTATCCTTAGCCAAGTTGAATTACTTAATTCATTTCATAAAAACATCGCTTGTATGTAAATTGCAAAAGACAGCTAACTGAAATACCTCAATATATAATTAACTGTGAGTCTCTAAAATCACGGAACAACAACACGTAGCCCGGACATAATCCTGATACATTATTACATCTCAGATCTAAACTAAAAGATAGTCAATCAATGTGGCATGGACAATCCCCATGCTCACCAAATAAGGCAACAAAGCCAAACATAGTCTCAATAACAACAACATAATAATAACAAGCTAAAGGCATATCATCAGCAGATATAATCCAGCATCCAAACATATCATCATATAAACAGCAATATCAGCTAAACTCCGGCCTCCTGCCGCTAGAGGTCTCAACCCCCGCATTACCTGAACCTGAAATATGTGCCCCAAACGTGGGGTGAGATCTCTAAACAGAAATCTCAGTAAGACAAGGGGTCCTCAAGGATCTTCCACCCCAAGCTCACTTACATGTGCAATATAAGTTCTTAAAGCAGTAATTCAATATCAGTTCCAAAATCAGTGCAATGCAGCAGATAATCATGTCATGTGTGTTATAATTATTCTACTGATCAGAGAAATGCAAGAAAATGTCTATTACTCACACAGTACGCGCTCATGCCGTACCTGCCCACAGGATCACATCCCGTCTAGGCAAACACCACATACATATCATAAGCATTTGCACTTAACAACTCATTCACTGTTCTTCTCATATATGTGGATGATGTTGTTTTAACTGGAAATAGTATGGATGAAATCCAACGGGTTAAATCATTTCTGGATAATCAATTCAGAATTAAAAATCTTGGTTCATTAAGATTTTTCCTTGGATTAGAAATCTCTCATTCCAAGAAAGGGATCATTCTAAATCAAAAGAAATATGCACTTAAGCTCCTTTCTGGTAGTGGTTTACTTGCAGCAAAACCTGCCAATACTCCCATGGATACCTCATCTAAACTCATTCGTTCAGCTGGTGTTCCTTTAACAGATCCTTCGTCTTATCGTTGATTGGTGGGAAGACTATTATACCTAACAACTGCTAGACCCGATATTGCTTTCTCAATACAACTTGAGTCAGTTTGTATCCACTCCTACAGACTTGCATCAATCAGCTGCCATTCGAGTTCTTCGTTTTATCAAAGGTTCTCCTAGTAATGGTCTCTTCTTCCCATCCAACAATGAATTGAAATTATCAGGACTCTGTGATTCAGATTGGGCCTGCTGCCTAGTACACGCCGCTCAATAACTGGTCAATGTGTTTTTCTTGGATCAACACTTGTATCATGGAAATCTAAAAAGCAAACGACTGTATCTCGTTCTTTATGTGAAGCTGAGTATCGAGCTCTGGCTAGTTTACCATGTGAACTACAATGGCTCTCCTATCTTCTTCATGATTTTCATCTTCCCCTGTCTTAAACAATATTCGTATACTGTGATAATGCTTCAACAATTTATCTTACACATAATCAATGGCGGACGCACATTGCTGCCTTTGTCTGCACTTGCAGACACAAAAGTTTGAGAATTTTTTTTTCAAAGGGGTGGGTGATTTAGGTCAAGTAAAAAAAAAGATTTAGGAAGATTGAAAATAAAAAAGTAAACATAGGCTCAACCATGGTAGTTAAAATTGAGATCTTACCTAAAATCAAAAGGAGGATAAAAAATCGTAAAACGTAAAATCCTAAGGTAAAAGAAATCGTAAAAAATCGTAAAATGGTAAAAGTGTTTGGAATTTTGATGAAATCGTTTTGATTAAAAAAATCGTAAAATTGTAAAATTGGTTTAACGCATGCATGCTAACTTATGTTGAGCGTGATATATTTGATAAGATTGATGATGAAGATATATTGCAATATTTTCAAGGAATGAAGAATCGAAGAATGCTTTTATGATCGTTCTATTGTAACAACTTAGTTGACTCTTGATTATTATTTTTTTATGTTAAGTTAAAGTTTTCTTTTCTTTTCTTTTCTTTTCTTTTCTTGTTTATTTTTTTAATGCATTTAAAATGTTAAGAATGCCCCCGAACCCCTGCCCTAAGTGTGCAGACATAAAAAAAAAAATTTTGGGTCTGCCACTGCACATAATGCCACTTTTCATGAACGTACAAAGCATGTGGAGTTGGATTGTCATGTTGTCCGTGAGAAAGTAGCTCAAAAACTCATTCATTTACTCCCTGTTCCTTCCTCTGCACAGATTGCTGATCTTTATACCAAAGCTTTATCTGCCAATGCCTTTCAGAATGTAGTTTCCAAGTTGGGCCTGGTGGATATCCACAGTCCCACTTGCGGGGGGTGTTGATATATCCCAATACAGCTGACATGGATAAAAGCACACGTGGAGTGTAACTGTTTAATTTCTGTTAGGAGAGTTAGTTATTTTATTTTTCTGTAACTACCTTTCCTTCTTCACTTCAGTATATATACTGTGAAGAGTGTTAATTGTAGGTTACTTTTTCAATCAATGAATTTTTCCAAGTCCTTCAAGTTTCTCAAGATTAAGATAAATGCAATATTGTCTCATATTGTAAAATTCTTATTAATTACTTTTTGCTTCTTAAATTATATTCAAGAAGACAAATAGTTACCAAATATCATATTTTTGGTGATTTAAACTATAAAGTAACTACATGAGTTTATTCTTGATAATTGATATACATCGCCAGTTTCACATGCTCACATTTGCTATAGCAGTTTTTATTGTCATCCTAATTGTACTGTGGTGGAGAGGTTGTATAGGGAAAAAAAATCATTAAGAAAAGGTGAATGTTGTTGCTATCATACTTTGGTGGACCTTTTATGCTAGTTCATTTTCTTCCTAATTCTATAGAATAAAGTAACAGACTCTCGATGGTGAAATCTGTTTCAATGGCGTATCTTTCCAATTAAATTTTGATAATTCATTTTTTAAAAAAATTATTTATTGGCATCATCTAACTATAGGATAAAGAAGCTAGGGAACAAGCAAAGAGGATAAAAGATTTGATTCCCACTTATTATAATTAAAACAATGGTGACTAAAATACTACTATGCTTTCCCTTTTTTGGGCGATTAAAATAATGTCTATTTTTCCAATAGTATTAATGATATGGGATTTTCTGTGGATAATAGATATCTCATTTTGGTTCCCTTCTATTAGCAGAGCTAAAGGATTTAGATCTGCAAACTGGTTTATTCACCTTAAGGCAAATCAAAGCAGCAACAAATAACTTTGACATTTCCAATAAGATTGGAGAAGGAGGCTTTGGTCCTGTTTACAAGGTATCCTTCAAGATATAATATAATAATTCATGATTATTGTGAGTGATCTATTGTAATTGTGGATATTAAATGTTAAATTATTTAAAAAAATTCACATAAAATTCTATAGCATTTCCTAAATGCAGGGCATTTTGTTGGATGGCACAATAATAGCAGTCAAGCAACTTTCAGCAAAATCAAAGCAAGGAAACCGTGAGTTTGTAAATGAGATAGGCATGATCTCAGCTTTGCAACACCCTTGTCTTGTTAAACTTTATGGTTGTTGTGTTGAGGGTGATCAGTTGTTGCTGGTATATGAGTACATGGAAAACAATAGCCTTGCACGTGCTTTATTTGGTAAATAATTTCTTTATATGCTCAACTTTGGTTTCTTTTTATGTGACATTCCAGTCTTAATATGACTAAATGATATTGCTGTCTAATTTCTGTGAAATTCGCAAAGGCCGTGAAGAATCCCGTTTAAAATTGAATTGGCAACCAAGGCACAAGATTTGTGTTGGTATTGCTAGAGGTTTGGCTTTCCTGCATGAAGAGTCAAGATTGAAAATTGTTCACAGGGACATTAAGGCCACTAATGTGTTGCTAGACAAAGACTTGAACCCAAAGATATCTGATTTTGGTTTGGCCAAGCTTGATGAGGAGGACAATACTCACATAAGCACCCGAATAGCTGGGACCTAGTAAGTTTAAGTTCTCATATTTTGTTTTTTTATCTGAATTTTATTAAAATTATTTTCCATAAGAGAATGTACACTGACAAACGGCTTTTTCACCATTTTGCCCCTTATTAATTAATTAATAATCATTTTGCTCCTGATTCGAAACTATTTATCAATCTGCCACTCTTTAGTCGACTACCTTGCATTTTTAATCGACTAAACGTTTGTTGGGAGATTTAATCGACTAAATCTCCCTACTTAATCGATTAAAATCATACTGACTTAATTTTTTTTTTTTGTCAAATATGAAGATTTAGTCGACTAAATAGGGAGATTTAGTCGACTAAATCTCCCAGCAGCCATTTTTGGTCTGTTTTGGCCATTTAGTCGATTAAAAATTCAAGGTAGTCGACTAAAGAGGGGCAGATTGATAAATAGTTTCGAATCAGGGGCAAAATAGTTATTAATTAATTAATAAGGGGCAAAAGGGTGAAAAAGCCCTGACAAACATTGTCAAATCCAGTTCGGGCAACTTTTGTCATATTTTGATGGAACCTAAAATTTCAATAGCAAATAGACCAAGAATTAACAAGAAAAATGGCAGTAACAGCAATGGCAGTAACGATACAGAGCAATAATGCTCTTATCCTAATTACAGACTTAAACAATTACAATAACAAGAATTACAATGTAGAAAATAGACACCAAAAGATTTTACTCACTCTAAAGCCAAATACCTAGGCCAAAGAGATTCTTTCCCAAAACTCCACTCCAAATATTCTGAATACATGAATACCTCACACTCCCACACCCGTCCTTATATCCTATTATTTAGGAATATTCTAGAATAGTTTTCCTAACAAACTAGCTAATTCACTAACTAATTTTGCATTGCTAAACTTGGGCCCACTAATCCTAGCCCATCAATACTCCCCATTCAAAATTCACCTTGTCCTCAAGGTAAGGAATATGATAGGGGATGTAATTGAACATCCACAGGGTCCCATTGCTTGAAATATAGTGTTCTATTTTTAATGGCATTTTCTGCCCATAGAACAAAGTCTTTTGGAGGCTCCCTTAACTTTAGTGTGTTTCAGCCATAAAGAAAAATCCCACACATATTGCATCCCTTTGAACTGATCCACTAATTCTGGCCCATTTAGCTTGCTTTTTCTTTGGCCCATTTCTATTTGAAGCACTAATTCAGAATTAACCATGTCAATTTTTGGGCCTTGGTCCACCCAATTAGCTGAAGTTATCTTGATGGGTTGGATATAACTCTTCTTTTCTTTTCGTAACATAAAATTCTTCTGGGCCGGGTCCATTAGGTCAAAAACTTGATCTAATTTCAAGAATACCATCTCTGCCCTTCTTCTCTCTTTCTCCTTATGTTTGACGTCTTTTTCATGCTGCAGGTTTGCCCTTTTTTTTCTTGTATTTTTTTAGCTTCTGCCTCTGCGTCTTCTTCGTCTTCTTCCTCTCCTCCTCCTTCTTCTTCTTCTTCTGTGTCTTTGGGTTGTCCCTGGTAAAACGCGTCCGGCCAGCAAAACGTCTTCGTCTGTGGTCGTCCCCGGTGCGCAGCAAAACCGATGGCCGGAACTCCTTGTGCCGCCTCCCCTGCTTCAGTTCGTGGTCGTTGCCGCTGTTCGCGCGCAGTCTCCCTGCTGGTTCCAGATCTGTTTGTGCGTCCTCTCCTTGTTCTAGATCTGACTTCATCTTCTTCAACCTCTACCTCTTGCTTTTCTTCATCTTCTTGCGCTCCTGCTTCCTTTTCGTCTGGCACTTTTTCTTTAAATTCTTCAGCCTCTTTGATCTCTTCTTTTTTATCTTCTTCGATTTCTTTTTCTTTTTCTTTTTTTCCTTTTTCTTTTCTTTGGTCATTATTCATCTTGTCCGCTGCGTTTTCAGCGGCTTCGTCAGTTTCTTTTTGTTCTCTTTTTTTTTTACCTTCTTCCTCTCTTTTTTCTTTTTTGATTGCTTCTTTGTTTTCTTCTGTGTTTACCTTTTTTGCCTCTTCTTTCACATTTTTTTCTTCTTTTTCCTCCTTTTTTCTGAATTATTTGAAACTTCAACTTCATCTACTGTATAGATCTCTATATAGATCTCAGGTATATACCTCTTTATAAATGCTTCATCAAAGAGCTGCCAACTTACATGGGGACTGAGCACACTCCAATGTTTGTACCAGCTGAGAGCCCAACCTCTCAACCTCTTCACAGCCTCTCTCAACATATCAGCTTCTGGAATTTGGTTTGCTTGAAAATGTTGTTCAAGCCCGAGCAACCATCCCCAAGCTTTCATTCCATCTTCGTCTCGATAAAATTCTGGAACCATTGTATCAGATCTGGATCTGTTGCTCGTTTTCTTTTTTTTTTTCTTTCTTTTTTGAATCTGGACCAGAAAGCACCTCCGGGATCGAAGATGCTAGCATACCAAATTGATGGAACCTAAAATTTCAATAGCAAATAGACTAAGAATTAACAAGAAAAATGGCAGTAACCAGCAATGGCAGTAACGATACAGAGCAGTAATGCTCTCATCCTAATCACAGACTTAAACAGTTAACAATAACAAGAATTACAACGTAGAAAATAGACACCAAAAGATCTCACTCACTCTAAAGCCAAATACCTAGGCCAAAGAGATCCCAAGAGATTCTTTCCCAAAACCTCACTCCAAATATTATGAATACATGAATACCTCACACTCCCACACCCCTCCTTATATCCTATTATTTAGGAATATTCTAGAATAGTTTTCCTAACAAACTAGCTAATTCACTAACTAATTTTGCATTGCTAAACTTGGGCCCACTAATCCTAGCCCATCATATTTCAAATAAATAAACAAATCTGAGAATTATGCAATTTAAACTTGATGTGATGATGTATTTCAATTATGCAGTGGATATATGGCTCCTGAGTATGCAATGCATGGTTATTTGACCGAGAAAGCTGATGTCTATAGTTTTGGAATTGTTGCATTGGAAATTGTTAGTGGAAAGAGCAACACCGTGCACCGGTCAAAGGAAGGAGCATTGTATATTCTTGATTGGGTAACATTTAGTCTCACGCTCTCCATTTGTTCATGGGAATCAGATTATCCATGATACACTCTACTTAATTAAGCTATCCGTATTGTGTTAAACAAGTAGTGTCATTCAATTTTGATCCACTATCACTCTAGAAAGTGTAATATTGCATCACATTTTACGTGATTTTCATAAAATTTACCAACATTACACTGACATCATTGTCTTGTTTTGTGAAATCCTGGATTCTGCACATACTAATAAGACCAATGTCCTCCTACTCTAAAGAATCTTCAAACTATGAACCTATAGTTTTATACACTTCTTGCTTAGATGAAGGGATTTCACTTGTAAATGACTCTCCAATCAAACTTATTTCAGCATTTTGTTTCAACAGGCACATCTGTTGAAAGAGAAAGGTAACCTAATGGAACTAGTTGATAAAAGGTTAGGTTCAGATATCAATGAAGAGGAGGCAATGGTGATGATCAAAGTGGCTCTCCTATGCACCAATGCCACTTCAAACCTTAGGCCAACCATGTCTTCAGTGCTAAGCATGCTTGAAGGCAGAACAGTGGTTCCAGAATTTGTTTCAGATTCAAGTGAGGTAATGGATGAAATGAAGTTGGAGGCAATGAGACAGTATTACTATGAGATAGAAGAAAATACGATAAGTGAGACACAAAAGGTTGATAATGGGCCATGGACTGCTTCATCTTCATCAGCTGTAGACCTCTACCCAGACCACATTGATTCTTCTTATTGGGAGGAAAGAAATTGAAAGTCTGTATATATTGCGCCTATATGTATGTGTGATGTCCTTTGTTCTCACATTCTCATTTTTTTCCCTCTTTAACCATAATTTGATCGATATCTATGATAATTGTTGGCCTCAAAAGTTTCTTCTTTACAATTGATTGACACACATGTAAACAAAGAGATACCAATATACATATACACACACACACATGAAAGAGCTTTCAAACTTATCCTTACTTTTTGGCAAAGAGGTTGTTTGTTATTGGCCTTATTGTGTTTCGTTTTAGTGCCTAGAAATCCATCCATTAGCTTAACCTTCATTTCATGTATCCATTCTTTTTTCTCCATTTTACTTTTCATAAATATACCATAATAAATGAGCTTTTAAACAAATTTAACCCCAGCCCCACAATCCAAAATATATGAAGAATGAAATTTATTGACATAATGACAAATATATGAAACAACTCTTCATTTCTAATTACAATTTACAATGGAAAATTTACAAAAGCTAGGCCACTATTCAATGCACATGACCAATCTTTTGATTCCAATGAAGAAGATCTTATGATGATGATGATGATCTCGGCTACACGGTTTCTGCATCAGATTCAGGGCATCATCAATGCCAAGTAAAGTTTGATCAAACTGCTCTAAAACCTGAACAATCTTGCAAAACTCAGGCCTCTTCTCTGGTTTCAAGGCCCAACATTGCTGAATCAAATCTGTGATAACAAGTGGACATGTTGAAGGAATAGCAGGCCTTAAATCCTTATTTTCCACAGCAATAGCAACCTGTATTGGAGTCATACCCTCAAATGGCATTTTCCCACTCACCATTTCCCACAGAATAAGCCCAAAACTGTAGACATCAACCTTTCTCCTATACTGTTTGCCTTTGATCATCTCTGGTGCCATCCAACGGTAAATACCACTCAATGAGTTGTCACACTTTGAAGCCTCACATGAAGCCCCAAAATCAGCAATTTTGAGATTTAAGTCCCAATCGACAAGCACATTCTCCGGTTTAAGGTCTCTATGAATGATACCTTGTGCATGTACATACTCCATTCCACGTGCAATATCCAAAGCAAAAGCTATTACCTTCTTCATACAAATAGGTTTGAACTCTAACTTTGTTAGGAGTATAGAATACTGCTCCTTGCTTAGTTTAATTGTCTTGATGTAACCGTCTATTACTGTTAGACCTTTTGTTACTGTTTTGTAACCTTCCATTACTGTAGTAACTGACTGTGAATTAGTCACTAAATTAACACTACCATATAAATAGTAGTTCTTTGTAACCTTTTCAATAATCAATTTTATAATCTCACGATCTAGAACTTTCTCAATGGCCTTTTCTCTCTTCTCTCTCTTCTTTTCTCTGAACGACTTTATGGTATTAGAGCCCACTCTGAGGGCCTGAACCATTTTTCTTTCTTCTTCCATGGCTTCCACTTCATCATCTCCAACACGAACCAGTGGAACCAGATCCACTGTGACCAAAGCTTCTTCTATGGAAAACACAGCTCCTTCTCTGTTTCATTACCAGATCTTTGTGAAATTGACGGAAGAGAACTATCTTTTCTGGAATCAGATAGTTGAACTGATCATTACTTCACACAATCTGCTTCGTTTCTTGATAAATTTTAAGATTCCGTTGCAGTTCTTGTCAGAGGAAGATCGCCAGAATGAAGAAACAAATCCAGAGTACACTAAATGGCTGACGCAAGACCAGATGCTTCTCACATGGCTGCTTTCTACTCTTTCTGAACCAGTTCAATGAAATCCTTGGTGTGCATCACTCACATGAAGCTTGGGAGAAAATCCATAAACTATTTCATGGATTGATGAAGTCTAAAGCAAGACATCTCAGATCTGAGCTCGAAACGATAAAGAAAGGAGGCAAAACAATGCAAGAATATTTGTCTCGCATCAAATCTCTGTCACTCTCTCAAAGCCATAAGGTGCTCAGTACCAGAAGATCAACACATTGAGTCCATTCTCGAAGGTCTACCATCCGAGTACAACGCGTTCGTTCTCTGCATTCACACTCATGAAAAACAGTATGCTCTTGATGATCTTGCAATAGAGCTTTTAGCACATGAACAACTTCTACTGGAGCAGAACGAGAGTCTTCTCAATGATTTAGGCACTATCAATCTTGCTCAGCATGCACAGAGTCACAAGCAATCAGGTGACGAAGATGCTCTGTATGCCCCTGTTACAGTGATTCAGAAACAGAGCATGAACCAGACACCTTCGCACAGTGAATATGGCGAATCTAGTTCTACAAGCTCCTTCAATCGTGGACGAGGAAGGTTTAATGGCAGAAACAATTAGGAAGAGGTCGTGGAACTAGGGCCAACGTCCACTGTCAACTTTGTTACAAGTATGGTCATGACGTTCGCACTTGCTGGTTTCGATACGATGAAAATTTTGTTCCCAACCTTCCTCCTCCAACTGATGCAATGAATCAACAATTCTTTAGCTCTTCTTCTCAACAACAACCATGTTCCTTCCAGTATGTTCGTCAGACTAACAATCCTGCTCCACCACAAGCCATGTTTGCTGCTCAATCTGGTCTTCTTCCAACTCCAACAACACCTGCATTGGAGTGGTATCCTGACTCTAGAGCATCACATTATATTACTGCTAATCCATTGAATCTGATACAGAGCCAACAATTGTTTGATTCAAACCAAGTTCTAATTGGAAATGGCCAAGGTTTGACCGTAAATGCTATAGGCTCTTCTAAGTTTGTTTCACCTATTGACTCACACACTCAACTACACTTGAAAAACTTGCTGCATGTTCCTTCAATTATGAAGAATTTGATTAGTGTCAGTAAGTTTGCTCAAGATAATCATGTGTATTTTGAGTTTCATCCCACTGTTTGCTATGTCAAATCGCAGGTGTCCAATAAAGTCCTCCTTCAAGGCAATGTTGGTCAAGATGGCTTATATTGCTTTACTGATATCAATCCCCTTCAAGGAACAGTTTCCTCTTCAGAGTCTTCCCTACATAAAACTTCACATAGTGTCACTCAATCTCCTTTCCTTTGTAATAGTTCCGCTGTTCAACCATGTAGCTATTCTCTTTCTGTTGTAAATCAGTTTGAGAATGTACCTTGTGAAACACATTCACAATATTTCTTATGGCACTGTAGGCTAGGAAATCCACATACTGATACCGTAAAAAGTGTACTCACCACTTGTAATATCTCATTCAATAATAAAACTGTCTTGTATTTTTTCAAGTCTTGTTGTATTGGCAAAGCTCATCGTTTACCCTCATCTCTTTCTTCAACTGTCTACACTACCCCTTTTGAACTGGTTTACAGTGATCTTTGGGGTCAGCCCCTGTAAAATCAATCTCTGGATACTCATGTTACATTTCATTTGTTGATGCTTCAACTAGATATACATGGATCTACCCTTCAAAACAAAAATCTGATGCTTTATCCATCTTCAAGGAATTTCATTTAATGGTAACCAATCAATTTCAACTTCCTATTAAAGTTGTCCAAACTGACTGAGGAGGTGAATTTAGAGTGTTTCCCCAATATCTCAAGCTTCATGGCGTTTTGCATCGTATAGCTTGTCCTCATACACATCACCAAAATGGTGTTGTGGAACGCAAACACAGACATATAGTGGAAATAGGTCTCACTATTCTTTCTCATGCCTCTATTTCGTTTAAATTTTGGGACTTTGCTTTTACCTTAGCTGTATACCTTATCAATCGCCTACCTACAGTAGCTTTATCATATGTTGTCCCCTACACCAAGCTCTTTAAATCATCTCCAAATTATCAATTTCTTAAGGTATTTGGGTGTGCCTGCTTCCCTTTTCTTCGCCCTTACAACAAACACAAGCTTGATTTTCGCTCTCAAGAGTGCTTATATTTGGGTTACTCTTCAAGTCATAGAGGTTACATTTGCCAAAATTTTGATGGCAGAATTTTCGTGTCAAAAGATGTACTCTTTAATGAATATTGTTTTCCCTATGCTTCATGGACTTCTAGCAAGCATTCCTCATCTCCAGTGTCCAGCCCTTCCATTGTTCCTCTAATGTGTACCCCATCTTCTTCTTGCTCCTCTCTGCCAAAGCCTCAAGATCACTGTAATACACTTCAACCACCAAGAGACAGTCCACTTCAGTCACCAGAGGCAGTCCACTCTGCATATTCTTCTAGTCCTCAACATTTTTCTGCACACACTGATTCTCCATCTTTCTCTTCTAACACCAATGGTTCCACTCCAGTGTCTTCTTCTCCTCCTTCTTCTCATTCTGAGTATCAACCTTCTATTTCAGTTAGTCCACCCTCTCCCGTACACTCTATTACTACCAGATCTAAGTCTCTTGCCCGGTCCATTGCCTTATTGAGTCATGTAGAGCCTTCTACCGTCAAACAGGCCCTTTCTAACCCCAACTGGATTGAAGCTATGCATGCTGAGTTTAATGCACTTAAAACTAACAATACTTGGACACTTGTATCTTTGCCTCCAAACAGGTCTCCTATCGGCTGCAAACGGGTCTTTCGTGTCAAAGAAAATGCTAATGGCACCGCTAACAAGTACAAGGCCTGGTTGGTAGCCAAATGCTTCCATCAACAAGCCGGTTTCGACTACAACGAAACCTTTTCACTTGTTGTTCGACCAGTTACAGTTCAGATCATGTTGACTCTTGCTATAATAGCCCTAACCTAATTAATTAGTAAATTACATGCAATTAAATAATTAAGCATGTATTAGAGAGTAAAATTAAGTATAAGGTCTAATTAAATGATTTGGGGTCACTTTTGAGGTAAAAAGTGTACTCAGTGAAAATTAAGGGGTATAAATGGGTGCAGGCAAAAGTACCCAAAATATAAAAATAAAATTAGAAATATTCCTAGAAAAATATTCCAGACTTTTGGGTAAAGTTTGGTAATTAATAGAGTTGAATAGATAGACGAACCAATACCCGCTTAAAGTCACTTAACATATGTTAAGTGACCAAGCCACAAAAAGAACCCACTTCCCACCCCTGCCCGTCGAGAAACAGAAGAGGAGAAGAAAGGGAAAGAAGAGGAAGAAGAAGAGAGGGAGAGGAGGAGAGAACCAAGAGTGAGCAAATCTTCACCGATTTGAGTGATTCAAAAACCTAAACCACCTA